GGGTATTCTCTATCTTTGTCCATTGGGCAAACTGCTCATTAATCTATGCAATGTATAGTAGAACACTTGGAATATATTTAAAAGTAATGGGGTATAGTAGTGTGATAATTATAACCAGTGATCAAGCCACATTTGTTGAATTCCTTCATATCAATTGCAATGTTGTCAACAGCTTGGTGATTTCCATATTACACCTAAGGGTGGTGTAATTAGGAAGTTCATGAAGGATATTGGGCTAGGGGATATTTTGGTAAATGCAAACATTGTGAAATGAGGAACAGCCAACAAGATGATTTTGGAAAGGATTATTGAATGGTAAGCTGTCTTTGGTTTGTGAAGCAATGTTGCTGTATCTCTAAAATGGGATGAATTTCACTTATGGCAGAGCTGCTATTGAACTTTGCAAAACTGATAGTTGCAACTTATAGACAATCTATCAAATACTGATCATGAAGAAGTTGACACTCTCCTTATGGCCCATGTCTACTACAGTGCTGCTGACAAGACAAATGAATTCAATATTGAGAGAATTTGTATTCAGTCTGATGATACAGAATGTTGCTTGCCAAGAAGGATGAGAGTTAAAAAGAGCTCTTAAAGTTTGTTATGTCCTTCAAGATAGCATTCTAAATTACTATATGAATGGGTGTCTTGTACCAGTACTCACAAACAAACCTTCAAAAATATGGTAGTGTAGTAATTTTATCTCTAATATGTATATTTGTGTTTAAAACACATTTTCCATGCTTTGAAGATAACAAGACACATAATTGAATATATATGATCTAAAATATGTCAACTAATCACCATTCAACTAAAAATATAAACAACTATTGCTGAAAGTGAAAAATTGGTCATTTTGCCCATTTATGTGTCATTTTTTGATTTTAGTGTGCTAATAAATGTGCTAAACTTTTGGAAAGTCTAAGAATATTAACATGCAATAATAACATTTGTTTTGGTTTTCTTATTAAATGGTGGAGGGCAGATCTTAGACCTCTAATAAAACATTTGTTTTCTTACATACATTTTCTTTAACTTAAATCAAAGAAGACAGATTCAATAAAAAACATATTTGAATCTATCATCAAAGAATTATAATTGTGGAAAATTATATGCTACTGCTAAATGCAGAATGCTGAAAATGCCAAATTTTAGACACATGTAATCAAATGAAGGTTACATTAAATAATAGTATTGATAGAGAATAGCTACAATTTTGTTAAAGTTTATGATTTGAAATTACTTTTTCATTTACATTATAAATGGGGCAGGGTAGACATGAAAGCTCTAATATCAACATTGGTTGTCCAATATACATTTTTTATATCCTAAATGGAAGAAGACATGCACAAGAACAGATCTGATTGAAAATGCAACAATCAGACATCATAAAACCCAAGATATGAGGAACTATATAGTACTGCTGAAAGCGAAAATGACAAAAAATGCCAAGTTTTGTCCTTAAATGTCTCATTTCTAGCCACTTGTTTACCGATATAGGTTCTGAAATATCTTAAAAACATTAAATAACACAGAATATTGACACAGAATAGCTACAACTTTGTTAAAGTTTATAATTTCAAGTTATTTTATTTTTTCATATTTTTCGGTAATTTTCCATAATAAATGGGGTAGGGGAGATCTGAAAGCTCTACTATGAACATTGGTCATCCACTATACATTTTTTATATCTTAAATGAAGGAAGACATCTACAAGAACAGATTTGACTAAGAATGCACCAACCAGTCCGCATTAAACTCAAGATATAAGGACCTATATGTTATTGCTGAAAGTGAAAATGGTAAAAAAAGCCAGGTTTTGTCCTTAAACGTCTCATTTCTAGGCACTAGTTTACCAATAAAGGTTCTGAAATATCTTAAAAACATTAAATAACACATAATATTGATATAGAATAGCTACAACTTTATTAAAGTTTATAGTTTCAAGTTATTTTATATTTTCATATTTTTCTTATAATTTTGCATTATAAATGGGGTAGGGGAGATCTGAAAGCTCTAATATGACCATTGGTGGTCCACTATACATTTTCTATACCTTAAATGGATGAAGACATCTACAAGAACAGATTTGATTAAAATTGCAACAACCAGTAAGCATAAAACTCAATATATGAGCAACTATATGTTACTGCTGAAAGCTAAAATGATTTTAAAAAATGCCAAGTTTTGTCCTTAAATGTCTCATTTCTAGGCACAAGTATACCAATAAAGGTTCTGAAATATCTGAAAAACATTAAATAATACATAATGTTGATATGGAATAGCTACAACATTGTTAAAGTTTATAAATTCAAGTTATTTTACTTTTTCATATGCTTCAGAATTTTTCATAATAAATGGGGTAGGGGAGATCTGAAAGCCCTTATATGACCATTGGTGGTCCAATATACATTTTTTGTATCTTAAATGGAAGAAGACATGTACAAGAACAGATTTGATCAAAATTGAAACAACCAGTCAACATTAAACTCAAGATATAAGGAACTATATGTTACTGCTGAAAGCGAAAATGATCAAAAATGCCAAATTTTGTCCTTAATTATCTTATTTCTAGACACAAGTGCACTAATGAAGGTCCTTAAACATCTGAAAAACATTAAATAATACATAGTGTTAATATTAAATAGCTAGAGTTTTGTTTGAGTTGAACATTTTGACTTTTTGTAGTTTCCATTTTTAGCCAATTTTTTTCTAAAAAATTCAAGGTATGTCTTCTTCGGACCAATATTTAGATATGTTCGCAAGAGTTATATGCTTCGCAGGCGAAATCCCTTATGCAGGAAACCCTAATAGAATGAAAAATACAGAGAAACTCCATCCAGCTCACAAAGTCATTTTTTGCACAATTCTCACACCTTCCACCCCGAGTAATTGCCCAACTGAAGTAAATGCCACGCAATAAATTCAATTTAAATTCATGAAAATTCTGTTTTTTTTATAAAGTTTTAAAAAGGTAAAGAATTTGTGTTAGTGAATGAACATGCTTGTTTGAGATAAAGTATATATGTGCCACCAAATTAAACAATATCAATCTTTAGCATAACCTCAAAATCACAGAACCAGAATCATAGAATTACAGGATCATTTATATTGGTAGTTATTTATTTTCTTAGTGCTAATCTTGGTGATTACATATACTGTATCTTTTCTATAAATCTAAACATTTTGAAAAAATCTAAGGTATATTTTCAAAACATTTTGATTGTAAATTATATTCAGTCCTGTCTTAAGTACCCAGTCAAAAATCGGTCTCAATTCATTTTTGCAATATCGGGCAATTTTTGACTCAAGTCCAGGACTTTGTATTCTACCCGAGTGCAGAACTGAGTATTCAACCTGAGTGCAGAACTGAGTATTGAGTCGAGTGCAGAACTGTACTCAGGTTTGTTAGAGTGTTAAAAACATGCACTCACTCAAAAAGTAACACAATGGTCAAATTTTAGCGAGATAAATTAGCAGGGGTGATATGAAAATGCTTGATACTAAGATACCAAAACTTTGACCATTATGCTCTTTTTATTAAAAGTGAATTTACAAAACAGTTTTATGAACAGTCGCAAGAATCCATTCAAAGGCTCCATTAATATATATGAGATTATCAAAATAGTGGAACATTTTCTAACGTCTGTGCACGAGACTTTCAAGAAATGTTATCAAATAAGCTTAAGATGTATCTCTCTGTTGAGAAAACATGTACATGTAGAAATAAAATTTGCATTTTGTCTGAGAAAATAAACCTGTATACAGTAGTTGACTGAACTGTAAACTGTAAATCATTATATTCATGAAGAAAAGATTGCATAAAATGTGCATATACTTAAGGAGAATGTGTTCACATTGCAGTGCATGAATATATACTCAATGAGGCAGAGATCACGATAGTTGAAAAAAAACTTGTTAGCCATTGTGGCTAATTCTTCACAAAAAATTTTAGCCAACAAAAATATGAAGTAGCCATTTTGACCGAAAAAAATTAAACGCTTCTAATGACTGTTTTCCTTTTAAAAAATGGAATATCCAGATTTTGCCTTTAAGATTGTTAGGCATTTTTTATGGCATTTTTGGAGGGGGTGTCGACTTTTGGTTTGCAACCGATACATATTTTTCGCCACCTCTTTTGAAAATTTGTGATTTGCGAATGGCGAACGTCTACCGTGATCTCTGAATGAGGTGTTCACAATAAATATAATAAATATCCCTATGTACTGCAATATGTTTGTGATAAATAAAGGTTGTACACTGTACATATAATAAAAAAAAGAAAAAGTGATAAAAGATACTTAGAGATGATGTTTTATCAGAGATATGGGTGCATATAAAAGTGAAAGACCAGGTGTAAAAAATATTGAAGACAAATGCAATTTTATATCACACATATCTTAGCATATTTGATTGCAAGTAAAATGTTATCTAATCATATGTATGTCAATATCCACATTTAAAATGTCCGTCTGCTCATGCTTATTCACTTATTTCTTTCTAAAATTTGAATAAAGTGTCAGATTTTCTTGCATTTCTATACAATTTAGAGTGTTGACTACATGCCTGTTTACTTTATTCCTTGCTAATTCCACTCTTTGGTAATTTATTTTACATTTTAAAATATGACCATCATAACATTTTACTCGCATATATTGTGAAATAGCCTTAAAGTAGTGTAAGACTTATTTAGATTAACTAAGTGTCCCAAGATTCAAAATCAAAACTTCATTGAGAAATTAACTTGTGTGAATAAATTAATATTATTAACTTATATACCTCTGTCTCCGAATTCCTAGTTTTTCAAGAAAGTGCCAAACTTAGAGCGAGTACTTCGCACATTTTTAATGAAGTCAATCAATGAAGTTTTCATATATGAATTTGGGAGAAGCATATTATAAAAAGAATGCATCGTCACACTGATGACATGTCACAATTAGCATGGCATGTCACACTTAGCATGGCATGTGTCACACTTCTTAGCGATTACACCTTACCTCCTATTTTTGCATTATAAGCTACACCAACAGTACAAACGTTATTTTTGGCCGCTGAAACTTCACCCGCACACCGAGTTCCGTGCCTAGAGGAAGAAATAAAGCCAGGATTTTAGCGATAAATGAACGCTGGGTAATAACTGAAGGCTCCTGGGATAGCGTGGTCTCTTCTGTGATGTCATAATGGTGTCCTAAAATGACCAACAGCAGACTAATAGCCGCATGCTACTAATACGGGAGTCACAAATGTATAGCAATCCCCACCCAAGGACAATTCTAGATTTTTGAATATTTCACTATTTAGCCACTGATGTTTTCAAAAATGAATATCAGAAAATAAATCTATTGATTTCAATCAATTACAAGATTTTATTTGACCTTGCTCTATTTGCAAGAACGTTAAACTTTCTAATTTCATTATAATTTGGAATAATACCATACAGGCATCCACCGATTATCTTCAGCATTTATTCACCTGAGCTAAATTTTGCTCAACTCGGTGATACTCAAAACGGTTGAGATTGCTTTACACGAGATTCACACATAACACGATACACATGCTATAAAACTGAGGGTCAGCCATGCTTAACCTTACCTCCGATACCCGCCTGAAAGGCGACCCCCACGTTACATATGCTATTATCTGACTTGCTGGCTACTTCCCCAGCACAGCGCGTCCCGTGGCTACATATAGAAAGAAACCGTTGGATGAATTAATCATGTGCGGTGTTAACTTATTACATGCACATGAAGACGCATCCTCCTAAGCAGGTGTCCAGAATTCGTACCTCCTTCTTCCCCCCTGCTATAACCAATTGGGAAGCGTCTGACTTACTGTACTCCGGGTATTGTTCGTGTGCGATTTAATTTCGCTTTGTTCGCGAATGTAGTAAAATCACGAACATTTATCGTCGCGAAATTTGTGTTTTAAATCCCCGGGGATTTGACCCGGGACTTTTAATATGTCTTGTTCGGTGTAAAACGTTTCGTCCAGTGTTGTTGGGCGATAATTCAAAAAAGGCCTAAAATGTCTAACATTTTGAATTGGCTTATTAGGCCAACAAGGCAAGAACTGTTGACGACAATGATATCCTACAAATTTAAGTTGAAAAAGCTATTCAAAAATATTCAAATAAATGCCCTAAACGTGGGAAATACAAACATGATTCGGATTCTGAACGGGCTAAAATTACCGGCGAAATGTCATCAACTCAAATCCGCGAAATTAAATAGCCGCGAAATTGCAATTTTGAAAAATCGCGAAATTTTATAGCGTCGAAATTTACCCGGAGTACAGTAACTGAATCACATGATCCATTTATGCGCAATGACTTATACATGATTTCTGTCGCAGTGTTGCGAATCAGATTTCGAGTTATTAATCGGGGAAATGCTAACTGCTTATCGCAGGGGGTAAAAAGAAAGAATATATTCTGGATTTTGAAGCCCTGTGATCGGAAGATGATAAAGACGCCATCCTGAAATAGTTTAACATAGCCAGGGTTTCACTGAAACCCTTTATCACATGCAAAAATACAAAAGTAAGAGTAAAGCCCCAGTTACATATGCTCTATGACGGCTGCACGGCGGGCGTAAATTCACAAAATCGACATAGAAAATCTACATCGTACCATGTATCTCTAGATTTTATGCTGGATATTTATCTCGATTTTGGAAAGCCATGAATGCCGTACAGTTGACATAAATCAAATGTGACTGAGGCTGTTGTTACCCTGCTGTCAACTGTCAATGTTACTTTAAAGGAACAGTATCCTGTAAACAAAGAACAGTATTATAAGAAACAGTGATTAGAAGCAGTGGTTTCCATGGATATTGAAATATTTCTTAAATATCAAATCTCTAACACCGCATTATGTTAACTTCTGTCCTGGCTCTAAATCCTGACCTTTACTCATGGGTTTCATGAGAATTTTTGACAACATGAAAAACAAATAAACAAACAACAGGCAAATAAAATATTAGGAGTTATATTTACATGGAAAGAGATGCAAAATTCATCAAAATAACAAGATATTTTGGTAAAAATAAACAAGATAAATTGGTTGAAAATAATCAAGATATTTTGGTAAAAATAAACAAGATATTTTGGTAAAAACAAGATATTTTGGTCAAAATAAATAAGAAACAAAATATTTTGGTAAAAATAAACAGAGAAAATTATATATTGTCTGCTGCCAATAAAACCTTGTTTATCTAATAATTAAAATTAATACATCTATATCTTGCACGCTACATGCTAACAATTCAATTATTCATTGTAACACTGTCCAATATTGTGATACATGATACAAGTTTATAATTAATATGAAATGAATTAAAATCATGCCAATATGGAGAAGAAACATGAGACTCGTTTCATGAATCAATAAATGTTTTGAATTTCAAATCATGACAATTAAATGACTTTTGTGAAGAAACGTGAGATTTGTTTCAGGAATCAATAAATGTTTTGAATTTCAAATCATGACAATTAAATGACTTTTGTGAAGAAACGTGAGACTCGTTTCATGAATCAATAAATGTTTTGAATTTCAAATCATGACAATTAAATGACTTTTGTGAAGAAACGTGAGATTTGTTTCATGAATCAAGAAATGTTTTGAATTTCAAATCATGACAATTAAAAGTGAATTTTGTGAAGAAACATGAGATTTGTTTCATGAATCAAGAAATGTTTTGAATTTCAAATCATGACAATTAAAAGTGAATTTTGTGAAGAAACATGAGACTCGTTTCAGGAATCGAGAAATGTTTTGAATTTCAAATCATGACAATTAAGTGACTTTTGTGATTTGACTATTATGGCATTCTTTCCAATGGTATACAATCACATCTCCTTTTGAATTTGTAACACCACCATACAGATGGAACATCTAAAACAGAAAATATGGTATGTTCATTGTAAATCAGGGTACATCATTAAGATGTCAAAATCAAGGGTACCATCTCGTCATCGTCATACCAACAACTTGCTCTGGGTATCATGGCTATGAGAGGGGCTGCATACTTCATATGAAAATATCGCCAATTCAATGATATTATGAGCATATGATGTTTTAGTATTGAACAACATGGTCATGAAAACTTCTTGTTTAACTTGAATTTCGGAACAGTTGTCTACTGGCTTTCATTTGTCGTCTGCTTCTAGGGCACCTGGATTGTGTTTATGTCACACCTTGGTGTCATATATACTATAATGTCACACCTTGATGTTATATATGACCATGTCACACCTTGATTACCATATATGTTTATACTACACATTCATTTGACATATCATGTCACACATTGATGTAACACATAATGTCACACCTAGATATAACACATTATGTTATACCACAATGTCATACATACTCATGGCACATCTTGATATGACAATGTCACACCTTGACAGAAAGCCTATCACTCTCTTACGCTCACCAGCAATAAAAACAATTCTAATGCAGAAAATTTGAATGTAAAAGCCATATGTTATTCCCGTGGTATATTACAGCCATAGATTCCCATCAATGACAAAGAGAGATAAATGGATAGATACACAATCTTATGAATTATACATATAGCAAGTATGCAGTGCTGGATATCTGTCTGTCCATGCTTATTCCACTCATTTCTCTCTAAAACTTCTACAGAAATTAGAACATTTAAATAATATTAAGAAATACTTATGATATAAGAGAGATTTAGGTTCTGACAATCAGGGTTATTAAAGATAACCGCAACATAAAAATACAAGACTACAAGAGAGATTTCAGCTAATAATTTTAATCTGCGGAACATTGGTTACAACTCAGTCATAAAAAATTACTGGAGAGCAGATACCATCAAGAAAGCAGCTATTAAAATTAATGAAAGCGTCAGATTGTATCATAATAAAAAATCATGTCAACGCTCTTAGAGATGCTTTTCTATTGAAATCTTCGAAAACTCAGATATTTCACAAAATTGTTATCTAAATTGAAAAATTATCAAAAGTGACTTAGGTATCACTATGCAGATGAAAAAAAGTAATGAGCTAAAAAACCTTTCCCCATTTGACCTCCTGGTAAAATTTCTTTTACTGTATATTTATAACAAAAATAGTAATTTAAACCTTTTTCCAAGGAAAACCAACTTATAAATCTCAATAAAATAAACAAGATTAAACAAACATAATTAAATACAATATAATTATAAACTGACCTGTTTTCATTGGTGTAGTCGTATCTAGGTTGCGGATCTGGGTCATGGCTGTTGACGTCATAGCTGGCACCTGGGTCCTGAAATGGAAGAAATAGAGACATTTTTAGAAGTCAGCTGTGGTCTTATGGTTCAGGGGTAGAGCATCGGTCTATGGTTTGAATACTATGGGCATTGAAATTAGCACACTCCCTTTCGTGTCCAGTATCTGGCTTGTATCTATAGCTCCCTGGAGAAGCCTTGGGGTCGTTAAATTATCATTATTAAGACTAATTAAAAAAACAATGTAAATTATATAGGGGATAGGTTTGAAATAACATCGCCTTAAAATGCCTATGTAAAAATCTACCCAAACAGCCCAAATATCAGATCCGTATTTTCATCCTGAGAAACATCCCTGGAAGTCTTAAATCAAGCCTTTAAGCAGTCTGTCTTGAAATGCACAAACCAGAAAAGTAAGATGCTGATGCCTGCAAAGCTAATGACAATGAAATTTACGTATATCGGTCTCAGTAATTCATTTCTTGCTAATTATAGCTCTTTATCAGTAGGAGGACACATTGCCTTAACCCATCAGTTTTATGACGTGCACATACGCGTAGGACTATATCTTTACAGCGGGGACTTCAAGTTTTTGTCAGTGCAGACATAGAAAGTTGCGGTTCTCATACGCGCGCGTTTTTTAATATTTTCATTTGAAACTTGCAGGAACAGTGCTTTGAATCTAGCTCTCTACTCTTTGAAAACGTCATGTATAACCAATACAGTTGAACTCTTTATTTTTTGTCGTGAAAATATTATTTTTTTAGTTTATTTTTATTTTACAACTTTTTGGGAAAAAATGTAACAAATTTTTATTTCTTGTTATATTTATCCGATATTTTGTTATCATGAAATTCGAGATTCTTTTTAATGATGGTGCAAATTTCATAACAATTGATGAATTTTTATTATCAGTGTTATGTTTTCCAAAAACGGTGTACCACTGTGCATGTTTCTTTAATTGACGGCACATTTGCCTTTAATTGGGCGAACGTACAGGTCCCTACGCAATAAGCTTTATTTGATTTAATACACTCAAAAAGAAAGTTTGCTATCAAATCGGAATGTTCATGAAACATAAACCTTGCCTTTGTTTTCCCAATTCTAAAAGCAGGCCAAATAAACTATGATAATCGTTTGACTCTCGAGACTACAGAACTTGAACATACTAAAATCGAAGTTACCTATAGTTACGCTTGTAAAGTTAATTACATGTTTAACGGCCTGCTGAGTGAATATATCTTATCATATTTGTGACATACCCATAAGATCGTAGATCACAATTCTAAGTTTAAAATGTAATTTGGATTCGTAAGAAGTATTTCTGTTTTAAACTTACCTTTGCAGTCTGAAAAAGATCAATATTCATAGACGGGGATGTTGAAACCTATATTTCCTTTGAATGACCTGCATTTGTACTACGAAATGATCCTGTGAAGAAAAGTTGATGAATTCCAAACAGCTAGTTCTAGCAAATCTACTAGTATAAGTTTACTTTCTAAAAGTATTTCAATGTTAAAAATATCTATTCAAATGTTTCATTTTTTTAAAATGATCTTGGCTTCCCTTAACTTAAATGTGTGATTAATGAAGAATGCTTTTTACCACATCAAACTTAAGACGTGAACTTGACAATTACTCGATACATCTTATAACGCGATTTTCTTTCATTTTCTACAAAAATGGCGGTATGTTTTCGAACGGTCACTTATGTTAATCTATGACCGTGGTATGATTGAAAATGAAAAAACTGAACCAAGTATTGTCGACTTGTTTGAATTATAAGATTTATTTTGTTTGATTTAATCTCTTCTTGAATTTTAAAACTTTTGTCCGAATTACATCTGCTTGGAATTAAAGTCCAAATATACCTCAGAATTGCTTATTGAATTAACCTAGCAATTAATTTGAAAATAATTCTTTACATAGGTTATATATCATAGATCATAGATATGTAAAAAATAAAAATGTGTTTTGAAAGATGAATTGATAACAAACGTTTTCGCACACGTGCCATTTCCACTTTCAGCCCATTTAAAGCACGAAATCCCGTATGGCGTAATATAACGAAAATGCGCAGATAATTGATATTTTCTATTTTAATTCAACTCACATTGACCGTTCAGTTATGAACGTGTTTAAAGTTCTCATGTTAAAATAAATAAATATGTGGAAAGGCAATGGTTTAAAGCTTATGAAAATGTCAAAATCAAAATTCAGTTTTTAAAATAAGATATTGACATGCATTCACGCACATATGACATTATCTCTTTTTGTGCGATTCAAACATAAAAATCTCATTACAGTTGTACATAAGAACCAATCTTAGCCATGCCTTTCTAATAGAAGGAACTAATTTGAATCAAAAAATAATTCTATGTAAAGATGATTCCCCATAGATATAATAAATGTCAAAAATGTCAACAAATTTATCAAAAATAAATACTCACACGCTTTTAAGCACGCATGACCTTTTCAAGTTTTGATCATTTAATTTACATTGAAAACCAAGGAGACCGAATGCAATTTCTAAATACAACCTTGATACGTGTACCAGGTCTATAATTGCATTTTCTCATGGAAGGAACCAAGCAAAAATTATAAAAATAATTCTGCGTAGAGGTGATGCTTCACAAATAATATTAATGTCAAAAAATTAATTCCATTTCTTCAAAATTAAATACTGACACGCATTTACGCACACATGACCTTTTCCAGTTTTGCATATTTCATTTACCTTGAAAACCAATGAGACTGGACGCAATTGCCAAATACTTCTTTGATACGCGTGCCAGGTCTATAATTGCATTTTCTCATGGAAGGAATCAAGCAAAAATTATAAAAATAATTCTATGTTAAGGTGATGCTTCACAAATAATATTAATGTCAAAAAATTAATTCATTTCTTCAAAATTAAATACTGACACGCATTTACGCACTCATGACCTTTTCTATTTTTGCTTATTTCATTTACCTTGAAAACCAATGAGACTGGACGCAATTGCCAAATACTTCTTTGATACGCGTGCCAGGTCTAAAATTGCATTTTCTCATGGAAGGAATCAAGCAAAAATTATAAAAATAATTCTATGTTAAGGTGATGCTTCACAAATAATATTAATGTCAAAAAATTAATTCATTTCTTCAAAATTAAATACTGACACGCATTTACGCACACATGACCTTTTCTATTTTTGCTTATTTCATTTACATTGAAAACCAATGAGACTGGACGCAATTGCCAAATACTTCTTTGATACGCGTGCCAGGTCTAAAATTGCATTTTCTCATGGAAGGAATCAAGCAAAAATTATAAAAATAATTCAATGTTAAGGTGATGCTTCACAAATAATATTAATGTCAAAACTTTAATTCATTTCTTCAAATCCAAATACTGACACGCTTTTGCGCACACATGACATTTTCTTCTTTTGCTCATTTCTTTTATCCTAAAAATCAGTGGGTCTAAATACATTGTCCGATACATCTTTAATACGTGTCAGGTCTAAAATTGCAGTTTATCATGAAAGAAATCGAACAATTATTATAAAAATAATTATGTTTAAAGGTGATGTTCTTCAGATTATATAAACATCAAAATTGTAATTCATTTATTGAAAGTTAAATATCCAAATGCTTTTAGGCACACATAACCTTTTCCCTTTCGTTCATTTTATCTATCTTTAAAATCAGTGAGCCTGAACTCATTGCTAAATACTTTTTGATACGAGTCAGCTCCAGGTCTAAATGCATTTCATCATGGAACAAATCGAGCAATCATTATGAAAGTAATTCTGTGTAAAGGTGATGTTCCAAAGACAATATATATGTCAATTTTATAATTCAGTTACTCAAAATGAAATATCCACATGATTTTACGCACACATGATTATTTCCTGAATGACGCTACTTTTTGGATTCAACCATGCATATAACGTCGTAAAATACACATTTCTACCGAAATTATGCCCAGCCGTTTTCGTAGAAAATGTAACAAATGAAGGCATTTTATCGGAAATGATTGATATTTGGTACTTATAAAATATTGTATATACTTTAACTTTTAAGCGATTCAGACATTTAAAAAAATTATGTTTAATCAATGTTAATTTCGCACGAATATAGGGTACAAAATGAGTGAAAGTCTCACGTGTTTGATTGCATTTTACTCCCATTTATGTGCATTTTTCTAACATTAAAATGAGATAGTTGGAAAGAAGAGATCAGTAGAATTCTATCAGTCACTTTCATTTTCAAATGTTTAAATGTTTCCCGTTTCATTGGACCTCATAAAGATGGTAGCCAACGGACCAGAAACAAGTAGTGCGATGACGTCATATATCGCTACACCACTTTGATATAAAGTTGGGTAAACAACAATGGTTTTTTTCAATGTGTCGTCCTACTGTATACTTTATAAACATTTAGCAGGTTCCCACCGGGTTGTAACAATTCTAAAATAGTAAATCTTGCAAAAGAGGTACTTAGAAAAAACTATAGCCTCGTATATTTTAAATAAATATAAACAAGTTTCAAAGGAAAAAACTTTGAAACAGCCTAACAAGAATAAAATTGTACAAAATATATTTCTATGATATCTGAAAGATTCTTGACATTTTCTGTAATAATTTCAGTCTATGAAATGACTTATTTTCTAACTTCATGCTTGGGCGCTTTGTTTTCTATTTTCTACTTAATTTCACATGAAATAATAACAAGACTTCATATTTATGGCCATAAAGATCAGCAGGGGACAAAAGTACCTGTGAAAATACATCAATGGTCATATTTCTAAATGTGAAATACAGTGGAAAACAGTGAAATTATCCAGAAATAAAATATACAGGCATGTAGTGAACATTCTAAATTGTATAGAAATGCAGGAAAATCAGACACTTTATTCAAATTTTATAGAGAAATGGCATGAAATAAGCATGAGCAGACGGATTTTCTAACTGGAACAATAACTCAAAGATAATGAAGCTTGAAAAGAAAGTGCTGATATTCAGTCATCTCCTCAAAATAAACTACCACGTTGGGCCAAAACTAGTGATGAAAACATCCCTTACATGAAAAGTTTATAAACTGTCTATTTGGAGGTGAAAAAGGATGTAAATGAGAGAAATTAGCAAGGAATACAGTGGAAGACAGAAAACACGTTTCATTCAAAATTTAGAGAGCAATCAGTGGAATATGACTTGGTTCAACCAATTCTCCATTAAAACGACTGCTTAAACCTCAATAAGTATTCATCAATCTAAAAGTCCCCAAGAGAAAAAGTCCAAACTGGATGAAGAGATTAGCCTCTGAGAATCTCCAATTAGAACTTACCAGTTTTACTGACCCAATATTCCTAATAAAAAAAACTTTAAAAAAAAGTAAAAAGTAGCAATGGAGTCACTTTAGACATTGTTAATCTGCCACGAGTAAAAGATATGCAGGTAACCCTCTTAATTATAAAAAAATGTAAGAAAATTAAGCAGTTTATTCAAATTTTAGAAAAAAGAGAGGATTGCATGGACAAATAAAAAACAAAATTAACAGGCATTGGGTCAACACTCTAAATTATAGAGAAATACAAGTTCATGCCACATTCCATTCAAATTCTGTAGAGATTTCAGTAATAAGCAGACGGACATTTTTAAGCCTGACTGGCTAGTCTCTGAATTAAGGTTAGCACAGATGCTTACATTTCCCAATTAGACAGATTAGAATGTTATTTCATTTTATGGTTCAGATGGCTCCCTGTTAAACATTCAGTTCAGGTGGTTTACTGAAGAAGGCAGACGGACTACAACTGAGTAAAGGTTACTAAGAAAGGGTACATCACAACCGATATATCTAATTCAAAAATAGCCATATTTTGGAATGTGAAATAACACAAAAAAGATAAGAATTCTCTAGGAATAAAGTAAACAGGCATGTAGTCAACACTCTAAATTGTATAGAAATGCAAGAAAACCAGATGCTTTATTCAAATTTTAGAGAGAAATCGAGTGAAATAAGCATGAACGGTGAGAGATTCCAGGCTCTAGTAACCAATACATATTTTGTTTGTATATACAACTGCATAATCTTTTAGCACCTGTATTCTGAACTTAATTTACAAGGCAACATATCTGTCTGCTCAGGCTGTTCTGTGTAACAGTTTTCACAAAATTTGAATGAAGTACCCAGGCTCATAGTCGGGCAAGAGGATGGGGGTTTGGGATTAGCCCAAATCTCTTACAAAATCATGCCATTTTTCTGCATTTGGAGCAGTTTTCAAGTGATTTTGAGCCAAAATTCTCAAATTGAGCCTCCCCAGAAATGTTAAAAAAAATTGAACCCCCTATTGACAAAAACTGACTGATTCTCCTACACTTATATCATTAAAAGAGTCAAATACATACATGTCTGTTTACTTTTTTCCTTGGTAATTCATATCAGTTCTCTCTAAAATTTGAATAAACTGTCTGATTTTCTTGCATTTCTCTACAATTAAGAGAGTTGATTACATGCCTGTTTACTTTATTCCTTGTTGACATCTCACCTTTCTACTCTATGTTTTATTTCAAACTTGGTGATATTGGTTTGTTACCGCTGATATGATTGAGTATCTGTTGAAATAAAGGAATTTATTGATGCATGTAAAAAATAAAATAAAAGATGTCTCCACTTGTATCAAAATCTTCTAGATCCATGCTTATGCTTATTCCACTCATTTCTCTCTAAATTTTGATTGAAGTGTCTAATTTTCTTGCATTTCTATATAATTTAGAATGTTAACCACATGCCTGTTTACTTTATTCCTTGCTAATTTCACTCTTTTCTACTCTCTTTTGCAATTTAAACATGACTATGAAATGACACTTAGAATTTGACTTATTATTAAGAGGATTTCACATTTGAATAAAAACTAAATGTTCTAATATTGCTTGCCCTTTCAAAAACTTTGATGTTGGTCTTTTAAAAGAGATCTTCATTTTATATTATAGGCTTTGACAAAGTTTAGGATTAATATTACCAAATCTAGAAAAGATTGCTTGCCTTTAAATGTCTAAAACTAAAAAGCATAGAAGTAAAAAATATTGGAGAAAACATTGTAGAAGAAAATCCAGTGGATTAGATGTATTGTATTAAATATATGTTTAAATCAGAGACCTAATCCTTAAAATCATACAAAAAAGGAAATTAAGTGCCATATTCATAAGGAGAGCTATGTGAATTGTCTCTGACTGAAATAGTTAAATGTTAAAGCCTGTGGGCTATAATCATGGGAGAAAATGATTTGTTTCCATAGTGATTATTCTCTCTGAAATCACTTCTACTTACTCTACATCATTCTCTCTGAAATTCTCAGCAAAAAATATCTGTCTGCTCATGGTTATTTTACTCAATTTCTCTCTAAAATTTGAATAAAGTGTCTGATTTTCTTGCATTTCTATACAATTTAGAGTGTTAATGCCTGTTTGCCTACATGCCTGTTTGATTTACTCCTTGCTAATTTCTCTCATTTCTCTCAAAATCTTGATTGAAGTGTTTGATTTTCTTATATTTATATACAATTTATAGTGTTTGCTTCATGCCTGTTTACTTTATTCCTTGCTGATTCCACTCTTTCTCTCTAAAAGTTGAATAAACTGTTTGATTTTCTTGCATTTCTATACAATTTAGAGTGTTAACTACATGCCTGTTTAGTTTATTCCTTGCTAATTCCAGTCATTTCTACTTTATTTTACATTTCAAAACAAGACCGTCATAAGTTGCCTACAGTAACATGCTCTAAATAAATATTGATGAACCCAGAACCAAGTCTAATTATTTATATAATATATTTTACTTATAAATGCCACATTTCATATCTTTGCACTCAGAGTTAATGATGATAAAACATTTTATGTTACATTTTAGCTAATATTTTTTCCATCGTGGAACTAAGAGATTATATAACTCCTTTGCCACAATTGTATTTCTACATCTACATATAGCTTACTCAGAAAATGTCTTCCGTTAATAATAAAATGATGCATATTCTTATGTTAAAATCAAGACAATGAAATGATAAAGCTGTGCTGACAAAAAAAGAAACCAAAACCTAATAAGCGTTTTGAAGAAAAAATTGATGAATAAATATAGGTTATCCTACAATTTTGAGGGATTTCATTTGTATCAACAAGTTCTATATTTATGGTGACACATCATGTCAAAAAATGATAATTTTATGACCAGTGGAAAATGCAATATTTATGTCAAACTTTAACTGAACACTGACTGTGCAGATTTCATATCCATTCATGGATAAAAATCATATCATTCACAATTCAGAGGATATCCTAAATAACTTACATAATTTTCTGCCAAGTCAGGGTGATTTTTTTCAATACCATCATCAAGTATGGAGACGACGATACCCTTCCCAGTGTACCCCATGGCCCAAGCGCCTTGCACGTTCATATCTAATCCTCCACTTGGCGCACGATTCTGAAAATATATGAGACAACAATTATAGAAAACTTCCATGCATATCACATCATCAAAAATGCCATTCGTATCTATCCTGCCATTCTGAAAAAGACAAGACATTAACATGCAAAATGTCACCACCTGTCATTTGTTACAGACACGAACTGCTGCCAGCCGAATACCAAACACTGACTCCCACCCATCAAACGCCATCCACAAAAAACTGGCGACAATATCTCACTGTGGTGGTCACACAATAAAATCAAACGACTTTGCAAAATACTATAGATATCTTTTCACTAGAACCAATCTGCGCGAGATTCCATTTCTTGGTTCGGTTTTTGGCGGCATGCATATTAAATACAGCAATTTAATTGGTTCAAATTATTATGACGCATGCGCTATGAGTAACTTAATAAGAACATTTAATTTGAGATAGATGTCACTTACGTTCATTATTTCACAGCAGTCCTTACCCATAATACACCATATTTTGCGGGAATATTTTTGTTTCGTGTCAAAACAAAAAGTATACACCAAAATCAAATGTAATGACATAATATCAATCTGTCCTGGATTTGTAGACGTTTGTTGTACAAACTTAAACCGAACCGATGGAAGAAAAGCACTTTGAATCATGGGAGTTACGTACTTCCCTTAAAGAAAAACCGAACCAAGTAAAAACTGAACCTCGCACAGATTGCCCCGACTCTATCTTTTTCTGTATATACTGTATAACATGCTCAAGTTTTACTTTAAAACAAGTGTATTACTTCAGTAATGGCTTGATGGATCAAGATCTGTACCCTTTGCATTCATGTGAATAGATAGAACTAAACTCTGCTTAGGGTATCATTATTGAAAAGGGTTAATCTAAGAAGGATATTAGGCCATTTAAAATACAACCCTATGGGGAGAGACTATTACAGTGAAATATTTCAAATAATCTTGATAGCATCTCTTGTAAATCACTAGTTAATAATGAGGAAAATTGGAATTCGATAAAACACATTTGCCTTGTAGGAGATCAGAGATACAATCCCTTTTGAAAAATGTCAGAAATAGTATGTTTTGAAATTGGAATTAGAATTACCAAGAAAAGTTTAGGTAAAATACATGTACCAACACTTTAAATTATACAGAAATATCAAAAACATAACAAGTTTTCTTGATGATATTTATAAAGGGATATAAACATTCAGATATTATTGCAATAATTTCATACTCCATTTTTAGATGAAAGAGTCAATTAGACTTACATTCATATTCATAATAAAAAATCTTCAGATAACGAAGCTTTTTAAGTTGGAAATTCCCAGAAAGGAAGTAGATTCCTTCAAGTTCTTAAGATAATGCAGTGCTCTTCCCTGGATTTCTTGTGCAGATTGCAAATCTCCTTACTTATTTTGAGAGAGAAAAATGGGAAACATAGCATATATCAATAAAAATATCTACTATACTGAACTGTTGAAGAATTGGCAAAGAGTAATTGAGGTAAAACAAGTTTACTCTTGTGTTAAAAACCAGATAATCCTACAGAATTCACCCTCGAGTAAAATTTCACTTTTGCTTCAGAATTTACCCATGAGTAAAATTTCACCTTTGCTTCAGAATTCACCCTCGAGTAAAATTTCACTTTTGCTTCAGAATTCACCCTCGAGAAAAATTTCACTTTTGCTTCAGAGTCAGGTTAAAATCACAAAATAAACAGAAAAGAGAAAACATACAGCAAAGAATTAAGCAAAAAACATTAATGAATCAGGGAAAAAATTCCGACCTTAGGGTATTTTATGGAATAAGCAAGGACTGAATAACAGTTAACTCCAACTATAAGTAGAATTTATAAGTTTGGGGTTAGTGGATCAAGCATTTGTGATAACCAGAATTCATAAAGATCTCTGCAGACCATAACTATATAAGAAGATCAAATGGTTCTTACAGTATTCAAGAACTAGATTTTTGGTGTGGTTGACTGATTAGTTTGATCGACTGATTGGGTTGATTGTTAAATGATCAACGATTGACAGACTGATTGATTGACTGGTCAAATGAATGAAAATGTGACTTTAGAGATGACCTCAACATTTAATATCTCGTGACTCTGTCAGTTAATTTTATATTTGCTGTATTTCTCAAAAATATGGACTGATATCGACTGTTCAGTAGTTTAACCCAATATTCTAAAGGTCACTATGGCCACGGAAGCTGACTTACTATCATAAACACACTAAATTATGCATTTGTATTATTATAACTTTTATTGACATATAGTATAATAACATGACTACATTAGTCATTATGACCAAGCCTAACAATTCTGCATACACTCATTCCATACTTTTTTCTAAAATTTGAATGAAGTATTTGGTTTTCTTGGATTTTTATACAATTTAGAGTATTGATTGTAATGCCTCTTTACCCAATTTCTTGCTAATTCCTCTGATTTCCTTCTAAAATTTGAATGCAATGTCTAATTTTCTTGCACTTCTAAATAATATCTTGCATTTCTAAATAATATAAAATGTGTATGGCTCATTAATGTACTTACTCGGGATTTTTTATTTTTTACTAATTTACTGTCAGGACATTGACTGGTCTGGCATTTTGGGAACTTCTATATTTTAAAGGGCAGTGTTTATATTGGTAATTCCAAGTAACTAGACAAGTTATTGATCTCCTCAAGTTTCAAGCAAAACCAAACAAAAACCTAAAACCAAGGTGAGAACTTTAAAATTTCTCGCAACCAGTCAAAATCCATTTGCAACTCGCTGAAAATCTTGAAAATTTACAACTGTATGAAAATCTTTTTGTATTCAGCTGAATATATATAAATTCATTTCAGAGTTTAGAAAAAAGTACAATTCAGACCATGAATGAAAAAAGAACATGAATGTTATTTTATTTTGGAAAATTTAAGGCATCACAATTTCAAAACAAAACTATAGAATTCCTTTGTGACATTTATACAAGAATGCAACATGGATTCCATACCTGTTATATGCTACATGTGTGCTATGAGAGAAGGTTAAAGGTGTCTGGCCCAAAAATAAAATCTCAGGAGTGATGTTTCAAATGAAAAGTACACAATAAAGATAAAACCCAAATTGAATATATTCACACTGGCCTGAGCTTCATACTTTAAATTATATAGTAATGCAAGAAAATCAGACATTTTTTAGAATTTTTGAGCGAATTTTGGAAATATTTTGAGGAATAGGAAAGAGCAGCCGGACAGACATTTTAAGTATCATGTAATGAGGTTCTTCTTTGAGTAGCAGAAATAAATGCCACAAACATTCAGGTCAAATTCAAGAAATTGTCCGTCTGCTCATGCTATTCCATGCCGCTTCTCTCTAAAATTTGAATAAACTGCCCAATTTTCTAGCATTTCTAAACAATTTAGAGTCTCAACTACATGCCTGTTTACTTTATTCCTTGCTAATTTCTCTTTTTTCCACTCTATTTCTCATTTCAAAAGATGACCCCCCATCTAGTAATTCAGAACTGGAGATAAGCTACTTGAACACATCATAAAATACATTACCCTGCAACGGTACTTCATTCACACACTCAAAACTAGTTCATTATGAGTGCATAACTCTGCAAGAATGATCAATCAGGCCGGTAGCAGGAGGGTGGGGGAGCTGGGGGGGGGGGGGAGGGAGCTGGGGGAACAGAAGTTCTTCATCATTCTGGGCTCTTTTCGCATGATTTTTAAGCAAATCTGTCAAAAAAGCTTCCCCTTTGGCAAAGCCCCCCCCCCCTTGGTAAAAACTGGCTACAGACAAAATCATAATACATGCACTCTCTCATTCGGATACTCATAGCATCTTTCTGTTTCATCTTAAACAACTCATGGCTGGGAAGAAATGAGATGTCATGGTTAATCATGATGGCACTCTCTTAATAAGTGATAACTTCTGACAAGAGAAAATCAGCCTACACTTCAATCAGTTCATTGGGAGTCTGTAAATCAAGATTGGTCATTTTTGCTTGATACGCTATTCAAATAAGCCATTTATTTCAAGCTAATCAGAGCTATAATTGCAATTGCTCAATCATGACAATTTCCTCACAGTTCAAAAAATGTCCCCCCGACACAGTCCCAATATTAACTCTTTCTGTTCGGTGTCTCGAACCAAACCATCTTAACCGAAATACACTCCAATCACAATATCGGGAAACTGCATTCTGATACTCATAGCATCTTTCTGTTTCACCCGAAACATCTCAGGGCTGAGAAGATTTGAGATGTCATGGTTTATCATGATGGGAAACCGTGACATCTCTTCTCTATAAGAATCACTTTGTGGTGCCCTATGATTAATCTAATACAGAACTGCAAAATGAACAATTGTACAAATTTAATACACTAAGACTAAAATCTATCATCAATTAGCAAAAAAGTCTTTAGAGAACCTTTTGAATGATTCAAACCCTCTTGTTATTATACTTAGTCACTCTTCTAGAGACTCTCCAGACATCTTGTAGCCATTCAGTCAATTTCCCCTGGGGAAAATTTCTTTTTCTCCATGTCTTCGAATAATGAAAATGTCCATCTGCTCATGCTTATTCCACTAAATTCTCTCTAAAATTTGAATAAGGTGTCTGATTTTCTTGCATTTTCATACAATTTAGAGTGTTAACTACATGCCTATTTACTTTTTCCTTGCTGCTTTCTCTCTTTTTAGAAAAAAACATGACTGTTTATGATGCCATGTTTGATGAAGCGAATATACAGAATCATATCATGCTCATAGAATGACTAAATGAAGCAAGAACTGATATTGGATATGATTGAATTACCAAGTATGAAAATTAGATAACAGATCCAGGAAAGAATGAACCTAAAAGACGAAAAACCTTCTAAATCTGTTAAAAAGGAGAGAATGAAAAGAATAGCAAAGAGAATGAGAGAATTAAGGAGAAAAAGACTGAGTCCAAGCACAAAGTAAGCCTACGTGAGTCAAGTGTGATATTTCAAAGATTGGTAAAAATTAAATTAATATACTGATGAT